ATCAATTATTAAGAGAAAAAAAAATAAGTCAGTTATAAATAAACATTTTTTCTTTGATTGATTTTATGAGAGATCAATATTTACCTAGGTGTAGTTGAAGATCTTTTACTTCCAATGTATCAGTTTTTCTGTGTTTGGCCAACTGACAAGCAAAGGAAGCTACAGATGTTATGAATTCATCAGCTATATCCAATAGCAACTAAAAAAATTTTCAATTATTATTACAAATAATATATATATATATAATAATAATAATAATAGAGTAAACAAACACACATCTTCTACTTCTGGTTCTAATCTTTCTCTAGGATCGATTTGTTCAACCAATTCTTGGATTTTACGTTTTGCAACAATTGGTTTTTCAATATTATCAGAATCCGTAATTTGTAATTGTGAAGTCCCTGGTGTTAAACTTGAAGTTAAATATGTATTTGATGATAAAATTTGTTCTTTTCCTGGCATTGAGGTTAATGTTTGTGGAAAATTTGTCGTAATTGCAGGTGTTATTGGCATTATCGGTGTTATTGGTCTGATATTAGTGCTTGTGCTTGATGATGTCGATGCTGATGTCGATGTCGATGTTGATGTCGATGACATTGTTAAGGTATCTGTATTAGTGTTATTATTATTATTATTATTATTATTATTATTATTATTATTATTAGTCATATTAGTAGATTTTAATATTTGAAATTTTTCTACATCAATATCCATCATTGATGAGGAATTTATCTGAACAGTATTAAAATGTGAACCTTGTTGTAAATGTGACGATTGTAGAGCTGTTTGTGAAGTGGATGAAAATTGTTGCATTAATAATTGTTGTTGGATGATAGAATTATTTGTTAATATCTGACCTTCGTATTGTTTATATTTGAGTGCAGAATAAACAAAGTTAGCATACAAGGGTAAATAATAAATATAAATATCATGTTGAGGAATTGAAATAATTTGCCCAAAATCATTATTACCTAAATTAATAAAATGTATATACATATAAAATTGTGAAATAAATAAAGGAATAAAAATAAAAAGTTTAAATCAAATCAATCATCTATCTAACCTGGTTGCGAAGATAAAGCGCCAGTTTGTGTTAATGTGTTGAGTGGCATTGCTTGTGCAGATATGCTTTGTAATGAAGTTCTGACCATCGGTGAGACTATACAACATATATTTATACATATTTATACATAAGTATGAATGAGTATTGTAAGATAATAAAAAAATTCATTTTAAATACTTAGATAAGAAGTATTGTATAAATATATATAAATATATGCCTGATATTGGAGTTCTTAAAAGATTACTATAGTAACTAAGCTTTGTTTCCTTTTCCTGTCTAACTTGGGGAGTCAGATGAGGATTTTTCAAAGCCTCTTGTAAACTATGAATGTCCAATTTTATAGTTTGTATGTTTTGATTTAAAGTTCGATGTATTTGTTGCTGTTGTTGCTGTAACAGCAGTTGTTGTTGTTGTTGCAATTGCTGCTGCTGTTGTTGTTGCAATTGTCTCTGTTGTTGTAGTTGTAATTGGTGTTGTATATGCTGTTGTTGTAATTGTTGTTGTTGTTGTGTTAAAGGTTGTTGTTGTTGCGCTGTCTGTTGCTGTTGCTGCTGCTGTTGCTGTTGCTGCTGCGTTGATATATGTAAATGTTGTGAAAAGATCTAGTGCCGCTGGATTGAACAAAACTCAATGCTATGGTGCTGGAAAAGGCTTTCAATATTTTGATTTATTTTAAGAAATTAAATGGCATTCAAAAATTTCTACATTTCTTTTCACAACTTTTTACTTATCCGGGTCATTCAAATGTTCGAGAAGTTGTCGATGGGCCTTTCTATGAGTACACTCTATTAATAACTAAAAAAAAAAAGGGTAAAAGATATTAAAGCTTTATCATTTCCCATATTAACATTCACTCCTATCACGATCATGAATATCTTTATAATGATGTTTGCCCATTTTTCAGAGATCCTCCACAAAATATTGACAACTAGCTTAAGATGGCTGTTAATTTTCCTTCGCCTCGGTAAATCCCAAAGTATTTATTTATTTATTTATTTAAACATTCTTTGATTGTTATTTATTTTAAAACATGAGGGAGCTATTTTCTTATCTTGTTCTTTCTTCTAATGACGCTATGATTCTTGGGCTCCATAGTAGATCTTGTGTAAAATTAGTTTTCATATAATAATAATTTTAATATAGAGATAAAACCGATATATATAAATATCTATCCAAATAAACTTGAAAATTTCATATATAAAAACAAATATACTATGGAAAAACCAATATTGATATTAATTGGTGGTTGTTTCAGTTCAGGAAAGACAACGAGATAAAAAAAATGGAAATTTTGTTATTAATCATCATTATTATCGCAGGGATTATAAACACCTTTCACACAAAAATAAAAGTTAAGATGATCCCAAAACCATAGATATGGATGGAACTTCTTATAGAAGAGTTAAAAAGGACAAACATCCTTCATGAAAAAAACCCCTCTGAAAAATGGCAGATCTTAAATTTTTGTATTAATTTGAACAGTAGGATTTTAAGAAATATAGAAAGAAGCTGAAACATTTAATAAAAAACATGTTCAAAGTTATATTCGCAATGTAGAAAATTTGTTGGGTCAACTAGAGAATATGCTAATGTGATTTTTACTAAAAAAAATGTCAAGTCCACCACTCATTATAATCTGCACTTTGAGAAAAAAAACAGTCAAAAAAAAAAGAATTTGCCATCTAAACCAAAACTAAA